AGGGGGAGATGAAACATGAGAGATGATGGACTCTGAAAAACAAACTGAGGGTTCTAGAGAGGAGGGGGTGGGAGGATTGGTTAGCCTGGTGATGGATATTAAAAAGGGCACATTCTGCATGGAGCACTGGGTGTTATGCACAAACAATGAATCATGGAACACTACATCAAAAACTAATGATGTAATGTATGGTGATTAACATAACATAATAATAAAAAAATAAAAAATAAAATAAAATAAAGTTTATCAGAGGGGAGGTGGGTGGGAAGATGAGTGAAACAGGTGAAGGGGATTAAGAGTATACTTATCATGATAAGCACTGAGTAATGATGTATAGAATTGTTGAATCATGCTATATTGTACACCTGAAACTAATATAACACTGTTAACTTACTGGAATTAAAATAAAATTTTTTTTAAAAGACTGTAAAAAAAAATAACCAGTCCTAGAAAAATTGTTCCCAGTTTTGACTGCAAATTAGAATCTCCTAGTGATCTTTTAAAAAGCTTTAGCAAACAAAATAAAAAACCCACCTATATCTGGGCTTTACGGACCAAAGTAGGCTGGAATCTTTTAAACGCTCCCTAGGTGATTCTAAAGAATAGCATGGTTGAGCATTGCTGTTCCAGGCCACGTTGGTCAGGGTTCCCAAGCCAAGAGATGAAGTGCCTTGTCTTTCCAATCCGTGACAGAATAGGAAAGGAGGGAAGAAAAGCCGGAGTGGATGCTGGCCCCAGCAACCCCACTCAGGCTCCCTCACCCTCTCACCGGGCTCTCAGTTCCCCCAGACAAGAAAGAGACCAGATTCTCCACAGACACGCCTGCCCTGCCCTCCCCTGGCCCTGGCCGCCTGACGGGGCTTACACGACTCCCCTGGAGCCAATGCTTGAGCTCTCCTCCTGCCCACATTCGCGGCTTTTGGCCAAAGACCACTCCAAAGCTTACAGAGCAGGGAATGTTCTTAAAATTAAAGCTCCAAGGAGAGAATTAAAGCGTGTCTGACTGTAAGAACGGGTAGCAGTTGAGAGTTTCTTTCATAAAAGCAGCCTTTAGACCAATAATATATCACCATGTCTTTTTTACTGCAGTGTCTCAAGCAGCCATTACAAAAGGGAACAGGTTCATTCCATGTGCCGGGAGGCAGGACAGAGACGGATGGTGGAAGTTGAAAGCGGGTGGATTCCAGCACCCGGTAGCAACAGTAGCACAATGGGAGCTGTCCAAGGTGGAGCCTGGGAGAAGTGGCCGTCATTTAAGATGATGGCCAGATTTCCTGTCAGGGAGAGAGGTTGGGAGGAGACTCTCCGAGCCACCTTCCTGAATGAACTGGTATAGACACCCCCACGCCCCCTCCAGTGCAGCGTGAAAGGCATGATGGAAGGAGGAAGGGAGTGTTCACGCATAAAACACTTGCTTTGTAGAGCCAGTCAGCAGCTTATTCCCTCTGCCCCACCTCTTGTGAGCCCTGATCTCTCTCTGGCCAGGCCAGGGTCCTAGTTATGTCCCACGGGGCTGAGATTTGCCTGAGCGAAAGGAGGGGGCTGGAGACAAGCCCCTGGATTCTGGGCAGTGGAGGGGGGCCTGAAAGGACTCTGCCAATCCACCCTCATCCTCCTGCCAGCTTTGGAAGGAATGAGGGGGAAAAGCATGAAATGTCGATCTTAGGACACAGTAAAACCCTATGACAACCCGCCCCCCAACAGCACAAATTCTGATATAGTGTGATAGTTGGCTTCCAGACTCTGGGGTGCACAGATTGGTGGCTACACAGCCTCACTCTGGTCATTTTATTAACTTTGCAATCATGAGACCTCACATTTTCAGATCCACCTAGAGCCTTACAGCAGCATCTCACTGTACATGTCAAGCGCTCTTATCCCAAATTCAGGAGTCCAAATAGGGTGAAAGTATCAGACTCCAAACTGACCTCTTTCTACCCTGCTATTCCACCTGGCCACACGACGCAACCTCCCTGTCCCTTCTCTGAAGCATCATGCGAGTGGGGCAATGTCTCGGCATCTTCCTTTCTCTGGTTCCACTGCAGACCCCATTACTTCATATCTGGCCCGGAGCCACACTAGCTCACACTGGCCAACCCTCTGCCCCTTGACAATGTCGCTCACCACTGTCTGATTGATCTTTGTCAAACACCTATTCACGCTGCCTATCACTCCACTCCCCCGCTCAAAGACCACTTCAGTGCCCACAGGCGAAGGTTCAGATCCAATCCTCCCTTGGCATTCCCAGCTGGCCTCGGTCCCATTCCCCTCCCTTCTCCTGCACCAACCTCCTCTCAGGCCAAATGATCAGTGAGCTGAAGGATCAGTCCTGTGTGGAAGGCCACTTTGTGCCTTAGGCTGGGCATGGCCCCCAGGTGAAGTCTAAAAAGTATTGGGATAGTGGGTTTGCCTTCAAGGATTTACAAGCTCCTAAAGAACAAGACTATGTGCAAAGTTTAAAAACAATACAAGAGGGGTGCCTGGGTGGCTCGGATGGTTGAGCGTCTGCCTTCAGCTCAGGTTATGATCCCAGGGTCCTGGAATCGAGCCCCACATCTGGCTCCTGGCTCAGCGGGGAGCCTGCTTCTCCCTCTGCCTCTCCCCCTGCTCATGCTCTCTCTCTCTCTGTATCTCTCTGTCTCAAATGAATAAATAAAATCTTAAAAAAAAACAACACAAGAGTTAAAGAACACAAGATACGGGGGAAATGCCATCAGCAGATAGCCTGCGATTCGTGCCAAGCCGTGCTGCCTGTAGTCCATGTCACAGGTGCTGAGACTGCAGAGAGCCCAGGAGGCTGCAGGGCCCTGACATGCATTTGTGGAAATACGAAGGAACTAAGGACGCTAGTTACCACGCATGAGCACATCATGAATAGAATTCCCAATCCTTATAACAACTCCGCCAGAATGAACTATCATTTGCTCCATCACAATTTCCTCCTATTTTCCCCTGAGGAGAAAGCTCGAAAGGATAAGTAGCTTGCTCAGGATCGTGTAGCTAGCAGATGATGGAGCTGAGGGAGAAGCCCAGGCGCGTCCAATTCGGCCACGGGGGCCTCACCTACAATGCCCCACTGTCTCTCCCCACACGTCCACTACAGGCCCAGGTTTCTCTCTCCAGCCAGACATCCACAGCGCCAAGGGAAATGAGAGTGTTCTGGGCCCATTTCATCTTGCCCCCCTTCTCTCACCTCCACCGCCCTGCAAAGCGCTCCGAGCACGGTAGGGCTCAGTACACGTTGGTGGTTTGCTGCTAGAGCTATGCGCTGGGGCCGAGGGGACCTGAGTGTCTGCGCGCTGCTCTCCCTTTCTTCCTCCCCAGCTGCCACACCGTGACCCTCCCGCCTCCTCCCCGGCCCTCCGGCCCTCTGCCCAGCGCCCGGCACACCCCACAGGGGCCGGAGGACGACCCTTGGCAGCAGGGGTACCATTTGTCTCTCAGTTCTCAAGGACAGATGGGTACGGCCAGGAGGCTTCTGTGTTGCAAAGGCCACAGGAGCCCATGTGGCTGTGACTACGCCAGCTAAGGCGGCTTTTGAGTATCTCAAAAACGAAGGGGCACAGCTTGGGAGAGCTTCACGTAGTAGGAATCGGAGATACATTTCCATTTGGCTTTGGAATAGGCTTTTGTGTTCCCCCTGAGACGCCAAGTGCCATGATTGCCAAACTCGTGAATCCACTTGAAGCTAAGGTCTCAGCAGCAGTTGGGAAGCAAATACAACCAACAGCTCCACCTGGTTCCTCATCTCCACCGGACCCAAGCCAGGCCTCTGCCTCTTCTAAGTCAGGAAGGAAGAAAAGCAAAAATCTGGCGCCAACTCAGAGCATCCTCTCCTAGCTCCCCACACATCTGGGTAGTAAGTCCTGTGGTTTCAAAGATAAAGATCTTTCTCTGAATTAAAGGGACTGAGACGCAATCAAGTAAGCTAGAGATGGCTGACAGGCCCTAGCTTTGGGGTTGACAAAAGGGATAGCAACAGCCCCCTCATTTTGCTAAAGCACACGCTTCCCCCAGGCAATAAGTGGTTTATGCAGACCGTCCCAATTGACCTTTACAAAAACCCTGCAGATATTTTATGAGAAGGAAACCAAGGTTCAGCGAGGTGAAGTGACTTGTCCAAAGGCAAACAACTGGAGACTGCGCCAGTTTGCCACCCCAGGTGGCTTCAGAGCTCTGTCTCATGAGAGCCACCTCCGAGGTGCGATCAGCGGGCACAAGCCTGGAGGGGGCCAGGGGCCCGCCACCCCCCCACCCCGCACACTGCCGCCCCCCCTCGCCCGGCTCCCGCGCCCCCCCGCTTACCCCTGGCTGCGGTAGGCGGCGCACCTCTCCAGCGGGACCCGCAGCACGCGGTCGCTCAGCCCCACGAAGAGCGCGCGGGCGCTGTGCAGGATGCGCAGGCTGCGAAGGGGCTCGCGGCGGCCGGGGGGCAGGACGTGCAGCTCCTCCAGGTAGCAGCCACGGAGGCTGCGGCTCGCCGTGGACAGTGCCTTCAGGATGGTGCCCGACTCTGGAGGGGCCGGACGAGGGGGGCCTTGAAGGCCCAGCCCCGCCCCCGCCCCTCAACCTCCTCCCCACCCGGGGCCAGGCTGGGCGGCGAGGGCTCACCCGTGCCGATGTAGAGCACGTGGTAGAGCGTGTCCTTGGCCTGCACCAGGTCCACCACGAGGTGTGAGAAGCGCACGCTGTCCTGGGTGACACAGGGCTCGGGTGTCACCGGCTGCACAGCCTCGCTCATCAGGAACAGGCGCTGAGCGTCCTGCAGGCTGCGCTCCGTCAGGTTCTCGTTGGGGCCCACCTCTGGCAGAGTGCCGCACTACCGCGGGGGGGGGGAGTCACGCGTGCCCAGCTGCCGGGCTGCCCAGTCCCCTCTCCCTCTCCTTCCTCATCATAACCCAGGCGGCCACGGGCAGGTCGTGATTACCCGATCCCGGCCCCCCACCCCCAACATCCCCGCTGCGTTCCCTGCAACCCCTTGGGGCGGGGCGGGGGGTGGGGGGGAAGAGATGCCTCTAAGAACTAAGGGGAAATGAGGCTGGGAAGATGGGGAGGAGGGACCTGCGGGGGATGGTGAAGGGGGGGCGGGAGAGATGAAAAAGGGGCTGGGTTATCTAAAAATGAATCATTGGAGTGTGGATAACAAGTGTGGTGTGATTTTATGCTGTTGCTGTAGGTGCTCCTCCCCCATGTTGGGCCACAACCTGCCTTCCTTCTCTCGTGTTCCTACCAGCTCAAAGTTCTTACGCCTTCCAAACCGAAGCTGGAGGGCCACTGCCGTGTATGGAGCACTTACTACATCCCAGGCACTGTGTCAGGCACATATTTAACCCTTACAGTTATCTTTGAGGTCAAGAGTATTATCCCTAGTCCCAGATAAGGGTAAAGAGACTCCGGGAGGTTGGGTGACTTGACCCAGGTCAAGGTCACACAGAGGGAGAGCTATATCTGGGTCAGGATGATCCCACTGCAAAGCCTGAGGTCTTCCCATGCTCCATACTGCCCCATGGGCAGGAAGTTGATGGATTTGAAGGTTGACCATCATTAGCTTCCTTTGCCTCAGGGCTCTTTCCTCTTCTCCAACATAGCACCAGGGGATGCTCACATCATCCATGGCTGGGCCCTGACCCCTCCTGTCACTCAGACCCTCCAGGAATTAATACCCAGGCTAGGTAGACTGCAAGCAAACTCCAGCTAAAATCCCTCAGTTCTGACCAGACAGCTTGTGAGTGCTCTCCTAGTTTCCTATATTGAGTCTCCCTGGAGGTGTGAAGTCACATTTAGAGATGGCTCAGAGTAGGCTCCCTTGCTCTGCATCCCACCCACTCTCCCGTTCTCACTCCACCGTCTTAGGGAACTATCGCAGGCCTCACAGATGGGTGCAGACCAGCTGGGACAGGTTTGGTGTTTGTGCTAAGCAGCTGGGAATCAACTGGGGGGCTGGTCATCTAGGAAAAGCTGGCCTGTGAGGAGAGGGAAAGGGGAGGAGAAGCTATACCTGGAAGTTGGGGATGGGGTTAGCGATGGGGAGCCAGGCAGCCCTGGGGTTCTCCTGGTAGCGAAATGGGCCATTAAAAGCCTGGGAGATGGCACTGAGGTTGAAGGCGCAGACAGCAGAAGCGGCGATGCTGTTTCTGAAAGACAAGAGGTGGTGGGGTGCCGCCCTCCCTGCAGGCCTGGGTCCCTTAAGCCCCACAGCCGGCCGTCCAGGCACTGTGCGGCACAGTTCCAAGGCTTGCTGAGGGCCTAGCACAAGCCTGGTGCTTTCCCCACGGAAGGAGGGTGCGGTCCTCACACTCTGGAAACTCTGGGAAAGGCCCACTGATGAGAAGCCCTGGGGGATCATTCTGTGCTACTTCCTCATCCCTTTCCCTTCTCCAGTGGGAGGGTCAAATAAAGTTAGTGTTTTTCAAACACTTAGTCCAGAGCCCACTGTCAGAAATATACTTCGTATTACAACTCCGAATAACACGCCCCCGAGCACACACATTTATAAAGAATTTTCATGAAACAATACCCTTACTAAATGCATTGTACTCCGCTATTTTTATTCCATTCTATTCTGCTTTCTTCATTTTATTTTACCCTTCAAGCTGGTTATCAAACCCCTGATTCATGCTGCCCAGCCCACAACACCCTGAGCCAGGTGACCTCTAAGACCCGTTCAGTCCCGGGATCAGGGGTTTCTAGGAGTCTGATGTGAACAGGTCACAGAGCCCATACCACTCAGCCAAATGTTTCCAGTTCTGTTCTCGGCATTTAGACCCTCTCCCAAATGTGTCCATCACCCTCCCTGCCCTTTCTGCCTGGCCTCGGCCCCCATCATCTCTGGCTGGATGCTGCGCTGATCTCGTGGCTGGCCTTCCTACAGCCTGTCCAGCCTCCTTGAATCCATTCTCCACAGAGCAGCCACAGGGAACAGTTCAAAAAGCGCATCCAAGCTGGTCTCTGGCCAGCTTCACGCCCTTCAATAATTTCTCCTTGCTCTTAGAATAAAGATCAAAACCCTTGAGCAGTCTGTAAGGACGTAATTCTTCCCATCCTAGCCCCTCAGCCTCCTCTCCTGTTTCTCTTCTTCCTCACCCTCCAGGCTCCTGCCACACTGGTCTCCAGTAAGTTCCTCAAACATTTCTGTCTTCCCACTCCGAAGCTCTGTGTGTGTTCTTCCCTCGGGCTGGAATGCTCCTCTCCCCTAGTTAACTCCCATTTATCCAGTAGATGTCACTTCCTACAGGAGCCTTCCCTGATCACTACCCCTCCATACTGGTAGAGGCTTCCCTGCACACTGCCCTTTCCCTTTGTAGCATTTATCACAGTTAAAATTGGGTGTTTAATAACCACTATTTCTAGAAGGTAAGCTCCTTAAGGGCAAAGCCAGGTCTGCTTTTGCTCACTGGCACCCCTGCTTCCCTCCCTCCCCCACCGTGACAAGCACCTGGCATGGAGAAGGCACACAATACAGAAACTATTTCCAATCCATACCACTCTCATCATTTCCCCCTGGTGCCTCTCTAGCAGCTCCTGCCCCTTGCTCATGACTGCCCACTATCTTGTGCTGACTGCCTGGCTGGTCATAGTTCCTGGCTGTCAGCTCATGGCCTGCGTGGGCTGCGATGGACGGGTAACCCCCCGCCTTGGATGGCCTCTCTGCTCCTGTTTCCCAGTTTTGCTCTCATCCCTGTCCCTCCTCTCAGACTGTGCTTGCTATAGCTAGCATGGCCCTCCTCCAGTCCCTGCTACCTGGGGCCCAGCGTCAGCACACAGCACTCTAGGCTCATATGTTTCCGAGGTCCTCACAAAGAACCTTGCCCAGCATCCTGTACAACAAACGTGTTCCTCGGTCTCTGCTGCCTGTTCAGCATTTTGTACATGAAATCACCTGATTGGGTCAGCCTTTACACAGGAGGAGGTGGGGGGAGGGGGGCCTCGTGATCTCCGTGAGGGCTACCCTTCCTTACATACACCCAGGAAACAAAAGGGGCTCTGATTCCCAGCCTGTGTCTCCCAGTGCCGTCAGGACTGCCAGGAGGCTCTGCTGGTTAGGTTTAGCAGGATCATGGAGTCCTGAGGTTGGAAGGGACTGGAGAGAATTCTCTCTGAGCTTGCCCGTAGGCAGCTGCTCCTGGACCCTCCCGGGGCTGCCATCCACTCATCCAAGGCAGGCTATTTTCCTTCCACCACAGCAATTTCTTCCTGCACAGAGCCATAATCCAGCTCTGTTAACTTTCTTCAGATCTGGCCTTGGCCTGCCCTTCACAGCAATCCAGAACAAGTGCTTACTCCTCCAGAGGCAGCAAGCCACAGCCAAGTAAGGAGTGTGTGATGTGCGAGCAAGTTTACCCTGAAGACCGGCTGCACTCCCCATTTTACAGAAGGAGAAACAGGGGCCCAGAGAGGGACCTGCCCATGCCCTCCAGTCTGCGAGGCAGGGACGGGATAGCAGAGGGCCAGGGACTCACACGTTGGTAGTGAAGACCCCGTAGATGAGGTCCTGCTCAGGCAGGTGGAAGGCACTTTGCAGCTCATTGTAGTAGAAGGGGACCTCGCCTGGGCGGGAGCAGTTGAGCCGGGCCTTCATGAACGTGGTCCATGTGTCCTCCAGTAGGAAGCGGCCCCCCACGTCATTCTTGCACACTCGGGCCACCCGAGAGTACACGGTGCGTCCGCAGTCGTGCTCCACCGCGTTCTCCCGCAGGAAGAAGTATGCAAACAGCCCAATATCGTAAGCTGCCACGAAGTTTGGCTCTGGGGGGCAGGAGAGGAACAAAGGGATGGGTCGGGCCAGCGGGGAGGAAGGGGACAGAGTTGACTTCCGTTTTCCCAGATGCGCATCCTGACACCCTTGGACAGTTTGCTGACCTAACCCTGTTCCCACCGCCACTACGAAGTTATAGTAATAGTTAATCTGTGCTACTGAGCACTCACTGCCTACCAGACATTATTATAAGTACTTTCTGTGATCCTCGTAACAACCTACGAGGTAAGTACTACGATTATCCTCTGATTACGGATGAGAACATTATGGCAGAGAGAGGCCAAGTACTTGCTCAAAGCCACACAGCCAATCAGTGGAGAAGCAGGAATTCAGCTCCAAGGGAAAGGAAACTCCTACCACCCTCTCCTAACCTCTTCTTTCCTATAACCCTTCCTCCTAATGAATTCCCAACTCTTCCTCTGCCCTCATCGCTTCCCCTCCATTTGTTCTGGGTACATCTGTCATTTCATCTGGAGTCCATCTCCAGTGTACTCCGGTCCTTGGGCAAACATCTCCCCGATTCTGGGCCTCCTGAGGAAGCCAGTGTGATGCCTTTCAGAGGCGGGGCAGGAAGGAGGATTGATAGGGCTCAGGGTGGGCTGGCTGGTGGGAGAACCCCCACCCCCGGGGCCGTGCCCCCTTACCATTGAGCCACTTGGAGTTATACTGGGCGGTGCGAAGTGGTGGCCCGCTGCCTAGGCTGCGGTAGATGGCGGGGTCCCGCCCTGAGAAGTCAATGACGGTGGCCGCGTACAGCTCCCCCTGAGAGGAGATGACAGCTGTGGAGTTGTGGCGTGGGTCGTAGGGGCAGCGGGCCACACCATTGATCTTCTCTATGGTCCGGCTGAGGTTCCCCACCTGGGGACACGGGGAGATAGGGGCACTTTTTCCTGAGACCCAGGGGCTGCCTGTTCTCCCCCGCCCCCCTGAACCCGAGTTTGCTTCCTCCTGGGTCCCTGGTGTCTCTGAGCCTCTCCCTGTCTCCAACCTCCTCCTCACTTCCCCCACCTCACAGTCCCTCTGAGGGAGCCGCCATCATGGAGGGAGGAGGTTGTGCCAGGAGCTCCATCAGCCTCTGTTCCCTGCACACTCCCCCCGTCAGGACCCTCCAAGGTGAGGTTGACTGATAAAATACAGCAGACCCAGTTACATTTGAATTTTGATGAATGATGAATAATTGTTTAGCATAAGTATGTCCCAAAGCTTACATGGGATATACTTATGCTAAAATATAATTTGCTGTTTATCTGAAATTAAATTTAACTGGGCATTCTTTTCTGTTTTGGGGTTTTTTTTGTTTTTACTAAATTTGGCTACCCCACTCCAAGGCTGTGTGGTGCCTGGGTGAGAGAACCTCTCCATGCCCTCTTTAGTCTGCCTTACCCTGAGGGGGCCCCACCTGTCTGCTGGAGCACACCGGGGAAAAGGCATTGGTCCCGCACATGAACACTTTCCGGCCAGTGACAATCAGGACTCGCATGTAGTTCTGACACTCCTCCTAAAGCATAGTGATAGAGAAGTAAGAGAGGGACAGGGGCATCCCATGTGGGGCTGGGTGTCTTCCTTCACACCACTGCACCACAAACATTTGAGAACACTCCCCTCTGCCCCCAATGTGCCCTGCTCTGAAGTTCAGGTTGCCTCTGTAGACATCCCCTCCCCTCACACATCCCCCCGACCCCCAGGCCAACCTGCTGCGTCATTGCCCACCCCGATGCTGAGCGCTGCATCCTTACCTCCACCCAGAGCTCCCCCCGCCACGCACCTGCAGGCTGGGCCTCTCCCGCAGGCGGCCCTGTGCCCACAAGGTGCCCCTCCATCCCCACAACCACAAGCCTCTTGCCAGCTCTAAGCCAGGCCCCTGGACCACGGGAGCCACATACCTCAGTCTTCCCTTTGCTTTGGCAGGAGCGGCGCGTGTCCTCATTGGAGGCCCACTCCGTGGCCTGTAGGAGGGGCACACAGACATCACACACTGCCACTCACCGCCAGGCGGGCAGCAGTCAGGGCTGGGAGGGGACCGGATGCTGGGAAAGGGTCAGTGACAGCCAGCAGGGTAAAGGCTCCCCTCACTACATCCACGTGGACTCAGAGGCCTGCCAGATCTCCTTGCTCAGAGACCCTAAGGAGGATGTCCCCTCAATCCAACACCGTCCCCACTGCTTGGGTCAGGGAGGCGGGCAGTAATAATGTCTTCATGCTGAACTATCCCCATGCAGCTCTGTCCTGGGACCTTCCCATCTTTCCTCCCCCAGGTCAGCCAGAGAGCTGGAAGTGGCCAAGGAGGACCTTCAGGACCACCCCAGACCCAGAGTGGGAGATGGAATTATGTGCCAGATGTCCCTCAAATGAGTGGGAGGCAGGGAGGGAGGAAAGGCTAGATTTGCAAACCTTAGAGACAGATCTATTTAATTTTCCCACTATTACCCTGCAAAGTGGTTTTTGTTTGTTTGTTTGTTTTGTTTCCCCCTTAATGGGTGAAGAAACTCTGTGTGGCTTGCTGCTGCCATGTGGTAGAGCAAGGACTGGAACCCACATTCTTGATTCAAAGGCTCTGTGTGTTTTTTCTCTTTATCCCACTGTCTCAGAACCTTGGGCTTCCCATTTTGTAATTGCTACGCCTCCCTAACGCTGTGCTGTCTGCTTCCCTCGTAGCATGACTCACGCTCTATCGTGGGGTGCACCATGGGGTGCTTGGGGATGCAGCTTTCACTCAGGGACTCGTGTTCCCAAGTGTCCATGACATTAGGAAAGGGCTGGTCCCCACCTAGGAACCCCCCTTCCTCTTCACCTATTCTGTCTCTACTCTCTCACACCCCTCCCAGCCTCTGAAGAGCAGCTGCAGGGGAGAGCGCTACCCTCCATGTCCAGGCAATGTCAACAGCCCTGGTGTGTGGCTCATTAAGATTTCTGGGTCACATGTATAAACAAGAACTGCCTACCTGTCCTGGGAGAGGGAGCCCTGAGCAAGCAGGTCTTCTATCCAAACGGGAAACAACAACAACAAAAAAAGCCAACCTGCTTTTAATTTCTCACAAAGCTCCTCCTAGCCACGAAGTCCCTGCCTGCAGAGCTCCAGGGCCGGGATGTGGGAGAAGAAGGGTGCTGGGGGAGGAAGCTGCAGGCTGCTGTCCACGCACAGCTCCAAGATGGCTGCTTTGTGGGGCAGAGGGAGGGCTGACTCCGGCAGAGCCTGGATTCAGGAGCGGGGGGAACAAGTTGCTCATGCCTCCATCAGCCCTCTGAGCAGGCTGGGCTCCTCCTGCCACGCCAAGCCTGGAGCTCAGGCAGCCTCTGCTCCCAGACCTTGGAGGGCAAAGGACCCCTGGCATCTGGCCTCAGAGCCATGGGGTTTATCTGGACAGGAACAACGGAGGCATTGTGATCCTCAGGACCCCATCAGCTCCATGGCTGAGTCTGATGTGAGAGGAAAGAGGGACAGAAACAAGCAACTCTGGGGCCCCTGAGGCCGACAAGAGCAATGGCCCACAGACACTGTACGACAGACACTGCAGAGGGCCGGGCCTGAAGCTCCAGACAGTGGGTGGCTGAGGGGGGCTGGGGGCTGGTGGGCAAAGGGGTCTTGCTCATAAGGGGGTGGGAGTTCCACTGGCTGGGTCGGTGGGACAGTTGTGCACAATCAAAAGCAGTTCAAGTTCCCCTGAGCTGAACACCCAGACAGGCACTGTGCCGCGGACTTGACAGCAGCTCTCTCTTGGATCCTCACCGCCAGTGAAACATGTAGACTTTTGCTCATTTTACAGGTGAGGAAAATGAAGCTCAGAGAAGTTGAGCAATTCACCCAAGGTCACAAAGCTAATAAGCAACAAGCCTAAGATGCAAACCCAGACAGTTAACACCAGAGCTGAGCTCTCTCTGTTACATCCTGCAGCTTCTCACAGTGAATAGATTTCTCAAGCCCAAAGTTAGAACATATGGCCTGAAAAGGATATGTATATTTAAAATGGTAACAGCACAGAACAGGCTTGTTTGAGGCATTTTTAAAATTTTTATTTTATTTTAAAAATTATTTATATCCAAGTAATGATGTACAGAGTTGAAAAAGTCAATGATATGAAAAAATTATTAAAAAAAAAACCAACCAGCAACCCACTCCTCCTCCACCCATCCCATTTCCTAAGGACAACCACTTTCAATGCTTTTAGCTTTTTCTCTGTGTGTGTTTGTTTTAATAGAATTTCTTTTAATTTAATTTAATTTTTTAATCCCATTTCTCAAAAATATGTATCAATCTCAGACTTTCTCTTCTGACTTCCTGATATGGAGGTTAAGATTTTTCCCGATCACCCATCCCATTCTCCCCCACCCCAAAGCACACCTACATTTCCCTTCTCCCCATCCTCCCATTGTAATTATGTAATATTAAGTATTTAAAATGTTAATATAATTATTTTTAAATTAAAATCAACATTGGTATTTACCTTATTATGAATATATAAAAATTGTTCACTACTACCAACCAGTACCCTGTATTTCGCTGAATATAAAACACAGTTGATTGTAATATGAAACACCAAGGAAGAAAATATACTGCCAATCAGATCATTATTACTTAAATTTTTAATGTAAACTTATCAAAAGTGCTCTTATTTAGACATACAATTTCTATCATCTATCAATCTTGTGTGTACAAAGAAGAAAAATGGAAACAAGCCCAATAAAGTATTCTTAAACCTTCTTGAATTCAGCTTGCCTCTTCTGAGTCACTTTCCAGTTGTTAGTGCTCATTTGTTTTGTTATGTTTGCTTGCTTTAGAGGATCATTTTTTTGAACCACCCAGGGCTTCAGTGATGCAGCAATTCTTAAGGCGTATTCCACTCTGGTCTCCGGAATTTTCTTCTGAGCTATGGATCCCATTCTGCAAGTTTGGATGCTGGTACTTTCTTGGTCTTACCAGAAGGTGTCCACAGAAGGTTTTCCAAAAAATCAGGACTCATATTTCCCCCTCATATGATCCTAAAATGGTTTGTGGCCTGAAATGTTAATGGGTTGCTGTTATCAGGATAATGACCAAGTTCATACCTGTATAGGCAAGGACAAGTCAATCAGGACGGCAGTCTGGTTGACGGTGACTAAGACGCCATCAACCGAAAGACATGGCCTGATTTCAGACTCATTAAAATGTCAAAATGTGCATCTGAGAATCCATAAAATAATGCCTATTCTGATGCGGTTTCCTCCTTGACCAAGTTTTTGTTTTTCCTGGACTGAATAATGCCTTGATTTTCTTCATTTGCTTGTTTTGCAACGTACTTACCACTAATTTTTTCCCAAATGTCCAACAGGTGTTACAAATCCATCTCAGTATCATTTACTAACTGTAAACACAAATGGCTCTGATCATCCATTCGTTCCTGTCCTCTCCCTCCTGCCCCAGCCTCCAGGCTCCTGTCCCAGTGTGGACTGGTTGCTCCTGTGGCCTCCTATTTGGCTGTTATCCTGGGACTTACCTTCTCTCCTTTCCTTTTTGCTAAATCCCATGTTTCCCATTTTTTTGATTTACTTGCTTATTTTGGTGAAACACATCTCCAGTATCCTCCTAAGAAAAGGAACATAGTAGATCAATTTCTTAAAACTTTTTATTTATTCATTTATTTAAGTAATCTCTACACCAAACATGGGGCTCAAACTCACGACCCTGAGATCGAGAGCCACATGCTCTTCTGACTGAGCCTGCCAGGCGCCCCATGGTAGTTCAATTTTTTAAAATTCTTGCATGTTTGATTCATTCTATCTTCATACTTGATTGATAGCTTTGATACAGAGTTCTAGGTTGGAAATAATCTTCACTCAGAATTTTAAAGGCATTTATTCTTCCAATGTCTCCTAGATTCCAGTGTTGCTATGAGAAGTCTGATGTAATTCTTTTCTTTTTTTTTTTTTGAGGGGGTCGGGACGAAGAGGGAGAGAATCTGGCTCCACGCTCAGCATGGAGTCAGATGAAGGGCTGGATCTCATGACCCTGAGATCATGACCTGAGCCAAAATCAAGAGCTAGATGCTTAACTGACTGAACCACCCAGGCACCCCACAGTTTGATGTAACTCTTATTCCCCAACTTTTCTAATGACCATTTTCTTTTTCTTTAGACTCTAGAAGCATTTTGGATCTTCTCTTTCATAACAATATCCTGGATTTCACACTGATGTGCCTTAGTACATGTCCCTTTTGGGAACCCATTCAGCCCTTTCAATGTGAAGACTCATGCTCTGTGTTGGCAGATATTCTTATGTAATTTCATCTTTAATTTCTTCCTCACCTTTTCCTCTGTTCTCTTTTTTGTAGCTCATTAATCCAGTCAACTGTTGGCCCTTGTGTGTTGATCCTCTAATTTTCTGTTATTTCTCCCTGGTTCTTAGTTTCTTATTTTTTGTTGTTGTTGTTCTAATTTCTGGGAGATTTTTCTTCAACCTCATCTTTTGATCCTTCAATTCAATTTTTATTTCCCCAGTCACATTTTTCATTTCCATAGTTTTAATTTGTTTTATAAAACAATACATTTTTATATCTCAGAAGATTCCATTCGTTTTTTTCTAATTAATTTTTAAAAATGTTTTCTTATATTTCTCTTATTGTCCCTGTTTTCTCACAGGTTTCTTCATTCTATTTGCTTGTTTGATTTGATCTTTCTCTTTTACTTTAGAGGCTTTCCTGATAGGTCTGGTGATTTTTGGCTATTTCTTTATATTTAAAAATAAATCAACTAGCCATTTCCCACTGAAAGGAACCGGCATCTTAGAGTAATGGCTGATTCCAGGGCTGGGGTTAGGAAATGTACAACAAGGTGAGTCTGGAACACCTCCTCACACCTCACACCCAACAGCAAGGATGCAACCAAAGGCAACCAGGGTCCTCATGTCAAAGGACCCAGGAACCAACTTGAAGAGGCCCCCTACTGGCAGAGATGGGATAGTCATGAAAGATAA